TSTYSSYTTTYCCAGTTTTAATATATTTCGGWTTCMCTGTAGAAAATTTCCTGACCTAACACAGGAAGCCCGATATTTTTAGAAAAGAGGCYAAGTGCGGTACTTGAAGGTAYTAGAGAGAATTACCGTCCACGTGTTTAAGTTATGAACCACTCGATATTCTCATTTAAAGTACATATCCACATCCTGTCTCAATTAACTTCATTGCCCCAGTATCAGTATATTGGATCCGTGGAAAAGCGTTTTTTTTTTTGATTAATTACTCATGACCTATTTTTATCACAATCAATATTTTTCCAGTCCAGGGCAAGTTCCACGTCCGTTTTTCTAATTAACTGTTCTTATACAAGTTTGGGAACGGGATTCTGAACTGAGCACTGACAAGCAATTGCTGACCTTTAACTACTGTATGGCTCTTCTCTCTCTGATGCCGSCRAAAAAAATRAAAAAATAAAAATAAACACTTTTGCGGCAAACAATAAAAACGTTTCACTGGGAATTTTTTTCAAGGATGTCGTAAAAGCTTCAATGCGGTGACTGATTCCTGTCAATTCCTCTCAAAACMCTTTGCAGCTGCGCTTGGATCATTTAGCGCTCTTCAACTTTATTTTCTTCTTCTTTTCTCAGATTAAAATTTAGTTGCCTAGTTGAAAAAAGTTAATTTCTGAGTCAAACCTGGATATAGAACAGATATCAAGAACCCGTTGTTGGACTTCCTGGCAACCTGCATGATTTGTTTTCATTACTACATCGAACTAAGCTAGGTGTTTTTCCAGGGTAACTGAAATGACCGTCTGAAGATCTGATTGTTTTTTTCATCTGCACAATGAAACGTTTTAGTCTATATCGCCCCCACATTGCATTTCCCACCAACATCTTCAATGTCAGTCTTGGCCATGACTGAAATCAGTTCAGGAAATGGAAGCCTCGCGTTGTTAGAGAATTACAAACTATTTGAAAACACACATAATAAAGATAAGACACACGACTAAATGCACCTTGCACCTTAAATATTCCAAAACACGAAACKTAAAAATGTACCCGAGGGGTGAAGGACCAGCGGAAGAATGCCTTAATTATCATAGATATTTGTTGATTTGTTCAGTCGCAATTAGGTTAATACTTTGTGCTTTGGTAAGATATTGTCGTATGCAGTTATTATAGGAACTATGATTGTATAGCGATCATATGTCAGAAGATTGGCCTGCTATTCGCTTTGATAGGCCGATAGATGAAGATAGATAGACGAAGGCCATGCGTTCAAAGCGGAAAAACTAGAGAAGTGCTGATAAACGAACTCATGCGGTATATTGATCTGTAATGATAGAGTGGGTAAAACAACAAGTGAGAGTGGTATCTGTCGTCTAGACTTTAATTAGCCTGATAGCGTTTGAATGAGGACAAAAACAAAAAAAACACACACACACACACAAAGGAAATGGCCGTACTAAGAAATGCGGTCAGGCGCGTGCCTCTTAAAGATAATTGTATTCTTTCACACATTCCTAATCGATAAAAAAAATTGAATAGTGACATGTATTAGTGGGAAAGAAATTCAACAAACAGGGGTGGATCAGAAGATCATTCTAGCTGCAGCTGTATAAAGTAATCCTCGCAAACATCTTTTCTCGCTTAACAATTATTTAATATTCCATTTCTAGATTACAATTCATAATGTGGTAATGTATTCGTAACATTATTACATACAACAGAAATAAACGAAGCTACAACTCAATTCAATTTTAACTTAAATCAAAAATGAGCAGTGTTGTTTCAAAGTCGATCTTCTTCCATGCCCATATACTGACGCAGTCATAGTTGCGCTGTACTTGCTAACTTGGTAGATCTGGTAGGATGTCGTTGAGCATGCCGAGACGACGTGTTCAAATGTTTTTGATCATGATTTGTAGCAGWAAAACGTCTCTCAACTAGATGACGCCAAATTTTCGTCAACCCTTGGCGGTAGTTCTTTTGAAACGAAAAGTAAATACACGGATTTATGCAAGAATTGGCAAGACCAAGAACGTCAACGACAAATGCARCTTTGTMTAAGTTTACTCTGTCTACATAAATCGGTACTTTATGTTGCCAAACTACGCTCCAAACAAACAGAAAAGCATAAAATGGACCCCAGAAAACTACGAATGCAGCAATGATGATGATGGACAAACAGAAGATATGTCGATTGCGACGATGACGGGAGCGCGCGAGTCGAGAATCCAGCATGTGTGTGATCTCCTTTGACGCCTGATGAAGYTTGTAAATCATGGTGGTATACAAAGTTGTAATAGAAATAAAAGGAATGACAAACATAGATACCAAAATGATGATATGGAGAATAATAWKATACTTTGGCTTTAAATCAAGTTTGCAGCTGTTAAGCAAAGAATTCCGTCTGTAACCATACAGATAAGAAGTGTAAATCGACGTAGCTAGCATCCATGTAAAGACGATGAAGATCATTGTTTTCCTCTTGTTGATAATGTACACTCGGTTCGAATACACTGTTGCATTAAATCTCTCAWACGCGGCAACCACAAGCGTAAAAACCGAGACAGTTGGCGAAATATCAGTTAGGAAATAACATACTTTGCAAAGAATGTCGCCAAGATTCCCTGTAGGCCACGTTTTTGCGCCAGTTTCAATATATATTCGTAAGGGAAGACTCACCAGAGGGCAAAGAAGGTCTGAARTGGTCATATTAAGGACCAGGTAATTGAAGCTAGTTCTGAGGTTTTGATTGTAGACGATCACAGCAACAACGAGAATGTTACCAACCAAAGACCAAACAAGTAAGATGCAATACAGGACGATTTTATATTCCTGGCCTTCGTGTCTGTGAGAACTGGTAACTGTGACATTTGTTGAGTTCAGATCCATGCTATTCACTGTCAAAAAAAAATAATAAAAAAATGAAAACTTAAAAATCAAATCATTTGTGTCCTTTGTGTACCACCTTAAAGCGGTATATGGTTGTATTTTGCTTGAAAAAGTATTAAAAAATGARTCGAAAACCGCTCAATATACATGCAAGACAATTTGCTATTCCTAAACAATATGTGGTAATTGGGTGGGAGAATTTACAACTGGTTTAATTTCCCATAGACGCCTTTAAAATCCTGCTTGGACGGATCTTCATCAGAGCGAAAGAAATGAAAAAAAAAAAAACTTTCTGAGTATAATTACTTGCTTGTTCAATCAATCAATTTTCGTTTTATAACACTAGGGTCAAGAATGGCGATTTAATGTCGGACAATCAAAAAACTATAGAAACGACCACAAAGGCAGTCTATAGCTACCTAAAAACCCGATTGTATCAGTGTGTTTTTGTTGTTGTTTTGATATTGATCATAAGAGTAGTATACTTATTGAATATACTCTTACCTTTTTTTACACAGCAGCTTTGTTTTAAAATGAAAATAGCCCTTCCGAYGTTCCGTGAAGAACCGATCGACGATTTATCTTGCTAGCTACACAGCAGATGGATCTGCACTGATAGCTTGAATGAAGATAGCTTGCTGTGATGAAATAAAAGACGTGCACTCAGCGATAACTCTCATATGAGGAATTTGTTTGGTGTAATGCAGTAATCAACTGTAATCGTTATAAAAGCCTTATCAAATATTAAACTCTTGACARATACAAAACAATGGCTTTTAACAAAGTGTACATATATCGTGGGTGTTCCCACCAAGCTACGTTGAGCACTAGAATACAGCATTTATGTCACTGAATACTTTGAATGATCTATTGAGGCGTAAGTCAATCTCTATATTCACCTCGCGCTGACAACTTTTAAAAGCCATATAACTAACCATCATGCACTGCGGTTGTGTTTCGATTAATTCGCGCACATAAAAGCAAAAATTAGTGTTGATTTCAAAKATCCTTTCACACATGAATTATTAAAAAGATCACTACTTTTAACTTGCAATGTTTCGGCAATTAATCAAGAACAAGCTATTGTCCATGTCGAAATGTCGAAGTGTGAATTTTAAGTTCAGTTTGAAGGCCTTTGAGGCATCTGTCCGCGGTCGTTGTGAATAGCTGATCAGAACAGAATCATAACAASACCAAAGCTGAATATTAACGAGCACTTAGAAATTGTCAAGAAGCAATAGCTASGCTTCAAAATGAGTACATTTTTAACGTTGTTTGCATACATTGCTARGCGACAAGCTCCCACAACAATCCTAAGGGCCTTAGAGCCATCTACTTCRTTGATATCGATATATTTTTTCTAAGTTTATGTGAAGTCGCTTACTTTTTTTACCATCAGTTTTAATTCACGCAGACTGTGTTTTGGTTAATGAAGACTTTGCTGATTTTGAGGATTCATGAGACAGCACAGTTGTTTGCGACTTTTTCAATTATAATAGCATTTGAAATGATTTGAAACTATACGTCCGGTAGTACCAATGTCTTAGTCTGATAAGTCAGATACTATAACTTTTAAATGCAGTGACGTTGATTGGGTCGAGATCACGTGGAGAATTTTGATCACGTGATGTTTCGAAATCACATGGTAATAATTTTGATCATGTGATGTTGWGAATTTCTTTAATGTCCTTATTTGATTTCTTGGATCTGACTCGGACCCATGATAGATGAGAGACTTTTGTATTCAGATACACCTAGTGTCCACACATTTCCACCGTGAACCCTTAACGCAAAATGGATCTTTTGAACTACACACCTTACTTCAAACTATATGATAGTAGCTGTGCTAGTTGTTACTACATTAAGTCCGATTTAGACATGGAAACATTTAACTGATAACTGAGAAAATTGCCAAAATTTAGCTGTTAACTGATATCGGGACCCCCCCCATTCAGACCCTGTTTAGACGACACAACTTTTGCTCACAACCATCGCATGCAACCTGCGTAAGTCATCCTTACAACATGTCTACAACTGTCGTAGGGATTTTAAACAATTGCTTTAATAGCCTCACGACAGTTGTAGCCATGTCGTCAAGGATGACTTACGCAGGTCGCATGCGATGGTTTGTAGGCAAAAGTTGTGCCGTCTAAATCGATCTTTAGTGACTCCGCATTGTCTCTGGAGATTACCTGAGGGATTACTGGTCACGGAAACAAAAATCTCTGGACAAAGAGGAACTCCTTCACAGCTAAGAAACAATGTAAAGTAACGGAACCTTTATTTTGAGGAAATATTCAAGGAAAACGTCTTGCACCATCATTACAAATCGAGCAAGCTTTTCCTCTACTCRGCCTTGTCAAAACAATATGGCATCATTAGCCCTTAGCTTCATAGCGAGAGCCTTACAGCTTTTTTAATAGATGAGATTGGCCAAGACTTCCCATTACAAATGATATCGTTCTCTTATATCTTATTATAAGGTACTCTAAAATACAAGTTTCTGTTCTGTTCAATGCGATTTTCACTCAAGATAAGGTTCGAAGATTAAGGTCCGAAACGTCAGTAGGTAATTGTTTCAACTACATTTCACGGTGTCTAAAATTTATCTTTTTACAAAACTGTTTCTTTACGCAGCTCACACTAGTTTACTGCTAGTTTCTACAGCACTAAATTTCACCCCTAAAGACACCAATCAATAACCTGTTCCTTTGGTTCAGAATTCATGATATCTCGATTTCATTTGTGCTTTGACACTAGCATCAAATGCCGTCTGCTCGTAGGAGTTTTTGGGTCGTCTTGATAATATAGTGATACACTGAATATGCTATTATTATTACCTTGTTTGTTTGAGGCCTCGGGCGGTGYCTCCAATCCTGACGATAGCCAACGACGAAGATTAGAGGAGTCTAAATAAAAAACCACTATTAGTAACAAGTTAAAATGAGCGGAATTCTATATGAAGCAATAAAATGTACAACTCGATAAATAAGACTTTCACTGATGTACGTACACGGATAACAAGACTTATGGAAGGATGTAAACAAAGTTTTGATTTTTACAGTAAATTTATCTTATCTTTGAACCAGCTACGTCCCAGAGCCGTTGTACTTTRATACTTAGTAGTAATAGCACAACGTGTCACTATTTTGTCTTACTTACTGCCGCGACCCCTCAGTCGCCGTATCATCTATAAGACAAGACGGTCATTATTTTGTCTTACTTGCTACAGCATGAGATAGATTACTATTATTACTTTGATGAAATAAAAAAACGCTTACCTCATGCAGGGATAATTCTTCTTTGCTCAAATAACAAGCTTTCTATAAAAATACAATAGTCAGGCAACTGTCATGCAACGGGGTCGCGATTCAAGGAGTCGGACAGCTTGAGGTGACTTTATATTGGTTTTCAAAAATAGACTGATTATATTCAGATAACTGGCCAGAACACTAGTCTTTTGTTAATGAAAGTTTGGTTTTRAAATCATTCAAGAAWCGCTCTTCCATGACAAGGGATCAYGGCAGTTGRCCGAGACCAGTTAATCAGTTAGCATTAAAAAGTCAGAATAGGCGCCTGTACTTCTCAAAAGTCGCTAGCATATTGTCGCAGTTTTGAGTGTAATTACGATCTTGCTAAACAWTATAATACAGAATATATTCACAAAATTGGAAAAAGTAAATTGAATATATCAATATGTCATAATGAGTCCCTTTTCGACAATTTCCAGAGCACATTTTAAGAAGACCGCTGCAATTATAATTTCCACCTAGGGAGAGAACAAGACAGTTTGTCTCCGTCACMGGGGGGGATGATTAACATTTTATTCACAAAAAAAGATGAATTGACATAATCACAAAAGATTTCGAATACTGCAATTATTAGTACCAGGGTACTATCATATTTTTGCACCAGAATGAATTTTTTGTGTCGTCTTTACTGAGTGTCGGCAATTCCGAGAAGGCGGAGCAGTTATTTGATTGGGAGGATGTTATTAATTCTTATTATGACTATTATTTTTACTTTTTATCGTCAAGAATTAGAGAAAAAATATATCAGAAGGAAGTGGGGAGGATTCTCCGCACCTGCAATCATTTAATAATTCCTTAGCCGGACAGGTCTTCGGGAATACTTTGGATATACACAGGCATCTTAGTCAATGTACATTCTACCAAAGGATTAACTTCAATCTCGAAACTACAATTCGCCCGACGTAGTTTTTGATAAGATTGATCAGCCTGGTTTGATTCTTTTGCATGATGTACTTCGGTCAAAGCAAGATTGACACAGAGGGGTCTCTTGGCTAATGACGTGCATTAGTGAATGCCACGTGACTTGCTTTTGAAAGTTGAAAGTGCGTAGCGGGAATGTGGACATTTATATTATGTACCCTGATAACTATCAAGTATTAAAATACAATAAAGAAAGAAAGACCGGCTAAAAACTTTATTTACAGACCCAGCGTTATGCATGTAAACGTAGGAAGGTTCCGGCGCACGTAYGTGATAATTGACAATTTATAACCAATCTATTGTTCCTTTAATCTATTAATTTTATGTACGGAATACCACATGTCATATACTAGTCTATCAAACTGTTGCAAAAMCCTTGCTAAGGAAATGTCAGGTTCTTTGATTTAGTGTTCCTTGATGTTATGTACTGATATTATGCCAAAGTCATATCGGCGTAATATGTCCATTTTCGGCTTTGCAATAAAGTCACTGAATACGATTCTACTAGTGTTTTTACTTCCTTGGCCATTTCGTCAGGTTTTTAGTTTTTAGTATTTACACGCTTGAAGTGTCCTGATTTCTCATCGTACTTTTGTTTATATGTCGGCTGCAGTATGTGCTTTGGGTTGTGAATCGGATCGTTTCAATGTTTGAATCAGAAAAGCGCTTTGCAAACACGTGACGCCAAATTCTCCGTAACCCMAGCCGGTATTGCTTTTGAAACGAAAAGTAAATGCATGGATTTATGCAAGAATTGAAAAGACCAAGAACGTCAACGATGAATACAATTTTATCTGTATCCACGTTATTTGGTACGTTAAACTGCCAAACGATGCTAATCACAAAGAGAACGCCAAAAAATGGACCCCAGAAAACGGCAAATGAAGCAACAATGATCAATGACAGACAGAAGATGTTTTTGTTTCTGCGATGGCGGGAACGAGCTTGTCGAGAATCTAACATATTGGTGATGTTTTTTGATGCTTGGCGTATCTTGAAGATCATTGCGGTGTACAGAATTATGATAGAAACAAATGGAATGGTAAAAACAGCGACTATTACTATGTTGTAGAATAACTTGATGTCCTTTACCTCTAAGACCAATTTGCAATCTGAATTAATTTCTTTAAAACCGTACAGGTAAGGCGAGAAAATTGCCATAGCTAAGATCCATGTTAACACGATCAAGATTGATGTTCTTTTCCTGTTGATACGAACACGTTTGGAATAAACTATTGCAGTAAACCTCTCAAACGCGACAATCACAAGAGTGAAGATAGAGACAGTCGGTGAAATGTCCGTCAAGAAATAGACAAATTTGCAAAGACCGTCACCAATGCTTCCTCCCGGCCATGTTTCGACTTCGTCAAAAATTCGTATGGGAAGACTCACCAGAGGGCAAAGAAGGTCTGAAATGGTCATGTTGAGGACCAGGTAATTGAARCATGTTCTCAGGTTTTTGTTGTAGACGATCACAGCAACAACGAGAATGTTACCAACCAAAGACCAAACAAGTAAGATGCAATACAGGACGATTTTATATTCTTGGACGTTTCGCGTTGGGACGCTAACTGTAGTAGTATTTGAGCTGTTATCCATAACTATTCAAGTTGGAACTGCAAGAAAGATAAAATAATGGTGAACACTACATGTTCACTGAATCCACTTTGAGTTAGTAGCAGTCGTATTTTACTTAACAACCCTCACTCACTTGRAGGGCAAAAGTGAATCGACCTTGATAAGTCAACTGGAATCAATAAAATTCAATCGATATCTGCGGTCGTTTCATATTCATAGTAGCCGCAATGGTTCAAGATCATGTAGTTTTACGTAAGGTAACTCAGTCTTTATGGATTAACAAATCAKCTATTTCAATGATCAGTACATGCATGGCATTGTATATTACATCCAGCTTCAGGCCAGAGATGATGATTTCGACTATCTACATAAACTAGATTTCATTAAATGATTCAAGATATCCTGATGTCCTTAAAAATGTCGGAGTGCGTCATGGTTAGGTGCGGACCAAGAGCCCTCACCGACAATTATCAATTTACTGAAATTAAAAAAAAAACAAATCTAGCGAATCCTACTCTGAACTCATAAACTCATATAGGCATCTAATGGTAGATTTCTTCTTTGTAAAATCGATAATTATTAACCTAGAGAGTAGTAGGTAAGAAGGGAGGAATCAAAGGGAGGCTCGTCATATTCTTGTAGTCGGCATTRTAAGACRTCTATAGTACCTTTMAGTTCTGCTGTTCGACCACAGAAAKRTTAAGCTGTTTTGTCGATTAGTTAGAATTAGTACTACAGTTATTGGGATAAGATAAGCGAGATACCACACCAAGATTAGACACATTACAAGGTACTTTTTTAGGGTTCATTTAAAAATGTTGAAATTTCCAAAGAACCTTCAGTATCATTGAGAAAGCCTTTCATAACGTGCAAGAATCTCACTTCCCAATTAAAACTAAGTTATCAATGAACACTGATAACAGCAGTCTATGTGGCTACTAACCGTTCTAGAATAGTCTAGACGATTTTCGAGGAAAATCATTCTCTTACTTGAAAAAGAAGATGATTGCAGACAATTGAACTCATTCTACACCACTATCAGCATGTTTCACTCAATGAATACATGATGCACAACCTCAGCGCTGCTTTCTTGTTGTCTTTGCGAGTTGGTTAACCTTTTCAAGTCACTGATAACTAGAAACTTCGGCTTAAATAGTCTATGAAAAGCAACCACATATGTAATTCTTTACAGTATTTTCAATTAAATAATCATAAAGATGATACCGCTAAGGTCGGATGAACAAATATAAGTTATAAGAAATTATACTTTTGAGTAGCACCTGATTTTTACGGCTGATAATGAACTGCTGCGAGGCAAATTCTACAACCCAAGAATTACCCACAAGGTTTTTTGGAAACCGCAAAAAGATTCTATCATATTCAAACAATTTGACCAGACTAATAGTTCCGCTTCAAGCTGGATAAAGATAGTCTATAACTTAATTTAGCAGTCATGATGGTGTCGAGAATTTCATGATTCGCGAGGGTAAAAGTCATAAAAAAAAGAAACCATTACAACTACAATGTAGCTAAGACTACTCAACAGTGAGGTGCTGTACAAATATGATCGGTGGCCCTTTTTAACACTTGAAAACCTAATTAACAATGACTAATTCCAGGCCTTATATGAATATATCCCTTATCATCCAGACGAAATCCAATATTATAGATTACTTTCCCGCCGGCAAATCACGTGCACTTTAATATGGTAAGTTTCTTAACTGTGAGTGGAAAACACTTACAGCAAGAAATAGTCTTTGCTTGTATTTGAAAATGTTTTAAGGCATTATTTGGACTAAGTATAAGCAATATCAATTCCAGTATGAGAAAGACTTAACACTGATCAAAATCGTCTTATCAATTTTGAGTACATGATGATAGCAATTCTAATAAGAAAATCATAAATTCCTGCTAATTCAAGACCCGCTGACGCCATATTTGCCATAATAAGCTCAGCGAAGACGTTTCCACACAGCGCAGAGACTTTTAGGGACTTCAAACGTGTTTTTTTTTTAAGTCGACAAGTGGCAAAATTCGCAGTCACGATTATCACAATTATAGAATCCTAAATCTGCCGTTAAATTTTCATTAAATCCGTGATCCGGTACGTTTTAAGAATCCGGCAATCCGCTCTATTTTTTCTTTAAATCCGTAATCCGCGTGCCATTTTAGGCCCAGATCCGCCGATCCGAAAACCTATTCCCCCCCCCCCTGGTGCACCAATCAATATTAATAATTAAAAACAGAAAGTAATACAATAACGATACCAAAAAAGGTGTGGCCGGTACAAACAGCAAAGTCAAACAAAACCTGTAATTCTTTCTATAAGACCAAAATTAAACACGTTAAACTTACTGAGGTTTGTACTCACCCCAAAATCTAGTTCTTCACATGTCACATTCATTTAGTGCTGAATTTTCACTAATCGCCGAAAAAGAAGGTTCTTGACAAGATTTACTGATCCTGGTACTTATCTCAAACTCTATTTACCGGGGTGTTTCATCAAGGCTAGGGATTTATCAAGGTGATTAAATTGATGGGTAGCCATTGCCCGGCGGCACTGAGTACATGTGTGATATGGGTATAAAAACCATGTCTAAGTATTAATCATCGTCGCATTACTACCTTAACGACAGTCAGACAATCTTTTTAGTGAAACATTAAGTCATATAACATGGCTATTATCTCAAAACGTAGACAATTTGCACATTCAAAATGAAAAAAAAAACTCGACTCTTTCCATATTGAACGGTGTTGGTGGTAAAAGCGGTCGTTCGGTATTTCAGTCCAATTTTAGTCTATTAGAGCTAATTATAAAATGCAGCTTTATTTGAAGTTGTAATCCTTTTAATTTATCAGAGTATTTCGGCAATTTGGTTTCCTAATGAAATGGTTGATTGTGATATGTCCTGGGCAATTAGCTCAAGAATGGCGCACTAATTTTCCTTGTTTAATCGTTTAACCTCCAGGCATAGTCACTACCAATCGGAAAATCCGAATTAATTCGCGCTTCATTATCTTATCCGGATCTAGACAGTTAAGCACCGTACCGCAAAATTAAAATTAAAGATGGAATCAATAATAAAAAGACTAATTCTGTAGACGATTTAAAACTATCAAAAAATCAGATAGAAATCATAAAAGGGAAAAAGGACTAAAATCGGTTGAATATGAGTCACTTGAACAAATATTCGTTTTTTAAACATTAAATGCCTGAATTCGATTCAGAATTGAAATTTTAAATTTTTTGTTCAAGTGACTCATATTCAACTGATTTTAGTCCTTTTTCCCTTTTATGATTTCTAGCTGATTTTTTGTTAATTTTAAAAAAGGAAGTAAAGATGTAGCTTTCTTTAACATGAAATGTTAACATATGGCTAAAATGTAATACCTTTTTGACGCTCAACACACTTACCCTGATATGAATCAAAAATGGGTATGACAACGATGCCAATAAAACCATAGACTATTCCTTGTTTCTAGCTATCGCTTACACTACTGAGTGATCCAGTCCAGATGAAGTATTATGCATGTATCAAAGTACTATTTCGCTAAGACAGACCAATCCAGTATTAGCAGACTATACTACACAGTACTTCAGTTGAGATCCTGAAAATTCTACCCTTGCGTTCTCAGAAATCCAAATCCTTTTTGATTTGAACGCTGAATGATTAATGTAAATATTTGTCTTAAGTACCTCAAACAGTGGCCCCCCTGTCCTTAGTAATAGAAAACTCTAGGTCTGGACAGACAACTCAGGCCAACTTATAGTCAACTTGGATCATCTAGACTTCCGTGTCTTTCAGGGCATAGGATACCGAGCTATCCAACAAATATGGCACGTTACTGACGTTACAACTTGCTGGTGAACAATATGTCAGCACAAATCAATGAATATAGAATTTCAAACGTATTTTACATATCTTAGTAGAGAGCACTCAAAGACCTCTAATTCAGATTGGTTGACAAGATTTTGAAGGCCTTGAAGCGCGAACTTTAATCAATCGATCATCACTATTGCCCTCGAAACATAAAACGGTCGATTCGCATCAATTTGCACTCGAATGTCCTAAAATCATTAGGTCAAAAAGCAAAAGAGTGTGAAAAGATCCGAGTTTAACATTCCCTATTTTTGCTATTGATATCTATACGGTATATGTGATAAGCGACCACAAACTTTCCAGTAATAAACTGTGTTTTTCCTCTACTATTTTTCACCTGTTGCTCGTGTCATTTGTGCTTCATATCTGTATGAGTATTTTACACTTATTATCTCTTAGTCTTAGTAGCTTGGTCACTTGTAACGGAGCACTGTATTAAACAACAACTGAATATCAGGTCAGTTTCCTCGTCTTCTACTTTCCTTGCACATTTGTATCTACTTGGAAATCCGTTTGAAACGGCGTTTGGGAGGCAAAATTTGCCATGTTGATAAGTAATAATCTATCTGTAATATTACTAAATAATCGTATGGGATATATAAAACAATTGCAGAGTGTATCTTCGCGTTCCGGTTGCAGTATTACTCTTTTTTCCTCGCTGGTAGGTAACTACGTAATCGAGGATTATAATACTGCATTTAACTTACCTCAAACATGAAGGCGTTTATAGGTCAGTAACATATCTCAAGTTGTCGAAAAACAGTTCCATTTAACAACGTCGCGCAAAGAAGTGGGAAATCATCTTGATGGCAGATGGTAGCTCCTTTTTTCTAGAGCCCTATAAGCTGTCACCTACAGCAATCTTATCGAAATTGAATTTTTTTTTTTAAATTGACTAAACATCGATGACTGGTTTCAAGGCTCAACAGTCTGTCAATGGTGGATGTTTATCACATTAATACATTTCACATGAAATAGTGTTCTTAAGAAAAGAGTTTTCCACGATCTTAGTATTTTAATAGCGGTGAAATAGTATGCACAACAATTGTTTTGTTGGCACTGGAAGACATTTTAATTAAAGTGATGTCAAGGCGTCAAAGCGTCGTGTCATACATGGATCTTTCTTATTATTAAATTCTAGACGAATCCACTGGAAA